TGACTGACAAAGCCTGCATGAAAAAAAAAAATCAGTTTCATTTTCAATCAGATGTTAACTTGCTTTAGAACTTTATTTCTCCTGCTCTGTTAAATTAAACTTTAATCACACACAGGAAGCTCTTGCAGGGTTTAGAATTAAAAGAGCAGATGAGAAATTCTAGATTAAACAGACTATGCAATGTGATTTAACTCTTAAATGACAGAGAAATTAGCTTTGAGACTGCAGGGGAATGATATATTCACCAAACCTGCTTCTTTCAACTAAAGTTGTTTTTGTGCCCACAGTATCACTTCTCGACAATAATGCAGACAGAGGACAGTGTTGACACTTGCACAACTCTGTAAATGTGCATTATCTGTACAGCAAAGAGCACCTTTTACAGAAGTGGCACAAATCCAATAAGGTAAAAAAATACACTTTATCATAAATAAAAAAAACAAAAAAACACACATTAACCCCTTAAGGACTGAGCCAAATGTACATGTTGTGATCAAAATAAAACGTAAACAATTTTATTCAGGAGAAATAGGGCTTTCATTTAACATCAAATATTTAGCTATGAAACATAATTTAATATGAATAAAATATAAAAAAAATTGGAGAAATTAAGAAATGTTTTTTTTTTTTTTTAGTTCTGCATGACATTTTAACTGTGAATGTCATAATACGATTTGCTTTTACTGCAATAAAGTACACATATTTGTATTCAGCATCGTCTGGCATGTAGAACAGTACAGTACAGGTTTTATGGTGTTTTGGAAAGTTATAGGTTCAAAAATAGCATGTTACATTTTTCAGTTTTTTTCACATTGAAATTCGCCACTTAGTCACAAACACTGACCAAAGTTAGCGTTAATATTTGTTTGTGTGTGAAAAGTGCAAAAAACTGATTTGAACGCCAATTTTGGCCAGTGTGTGTGATTAAGTGGCTACTAAAAAAGACTGGACATACCCCATTTGCAATTCCTTGGGTTGTCTACTTATGCAAATGGTATGTCATTATGGGGGTAATTTTCATTCCTGGGCTACCATACGATCTCAAAGGCAAAGTAACCAATCTGGCGACTTTCAATGTGAAAAAACTGAAACGCAAGCCTCATATTTGACTCTGTAACTTTTGAAAACATCATAAAACCTGTACATTAGGGTTACTGTTATACTCAGGAGACTTCGCTGAACACAAATATTAGTGTTTCAAAACCGTAAAATGTATCACAACAGTTATATAGTTGGTATAAGTGCCGTTTGTGTGTTTGAAAAATGCAAATAAGTCACTTTCACTAATGATATTATCGCTGTAATACATTTTACTGTTTTGAAACACTAATATTTGTGTTCAGTGAAGTCTCCCACGTAAAACAGTACCCCCTATGTACAGCTTTTATGGTGTCTAGGAAAATTACAGGGTTAAATATAGTGCTAGCAAATTAAATTCTCTGGACTTTTTAGCCTGGTTTGTCAGGCAGGTCCCGCAAATTGTAATTAATAAAATGACCTAATTATGTAAAAATATTACATAAATATATACGTAGAATAAAAAAATAAAAAAAAAATAAAAAAATTAAAAATAAATAAAAAAATAAATATATATGTGTATGTATATATATAATTTCTAAAAATTATTTTTATTTATATATAGGTATGTATATATATATAATGATACATACATATATATTTATGTAGAAACTATACAATTTCTGGCACTCTTCCCAAATAATAATACATACCAGGTGCTTCTCTGTGCAAAATACTATAAACAAAGCAAAAAATGAGAGCACTCAATATATATATATATAATTTCGTACCAAATTTATTTTGATATCAATATATCAGGTAGGCGGTGGACAGGCAGAGTAGGCGGCGATGGGTGACTTTTGGGGGTGGCTTTTTTTGCCGTCCCCTGAAAAGTGCCACCCAAGGCAAATACCTTGCTTGCCTCGTGTAAGATCCATCGCTGGCTGGCACCCAGACCACCTTCTTACCTTGAGATACTCGGTTTCCTATTTTAACATTGTTTTTGAGATTATAGTTGGATGCCAATATCCTGAAAAAGTCCTTAAATAACTGTATATGCACAGATTGATAGATTATAATAGATTGATAGATAGATAGATAGACAATGATAGATAGATAGATAGATAGATAGAACATCATGGTTACTATGACACAATAACACAGGAAGTAGGAGCAAATAAGAAGTTATTGAAGTATCAATAATTCAATAAATCAGGAAATGTAGTAACCCATTAAATATAAGGGTCATTTATTTAACAGGGAGGAAAATACATCCATTACACACTCTTTAATGGTTTCACAAGGGTTTTTATCAGACATCATGTTACTTAATTAGAATAAAAAGTGTGAAAGTGTCATAATGTAATAAACTGGTGCAGATCTATATTATTGATTACTGTTTTAATGGGCTGTTATATGATATAATAAATATATTAGTATGTTTGGTTACATCATTACACCTATAACCATACTCCATATGGAATTATAGATCACAAGTTATACTGAAGATGTTGGTAAACATACAAATTAGACTTGTGCATGGCAAAAACAAATTGGTTTGACAAAACGGACTAATCCAAAAAATGTTTTGTGTTAGTCAATTCGGGATGTGTCAAGTTCGGTTTCGGACACAATTTGCCCTTGTAATCGCTTCATGAAAAATAATTAGCAGAGACCAAAATGGCTAATAAATGGGCCAATCAGTCTACTTGCAGGAAGATGCATTGTGTGCTGTCACATTAAAAACAGATGATTACAAACATTATTGTATGCAGTTCTGTGCTACCCAAAAACACAATTTAAATATACACAAGTGTAAAAAAAAATCCCGTTTGTTCTGGGTGTCTCAATGTGGTGCACCTGCAAATCCTGCTGGGGCTGTCACTGGAGTCTTGGACATGGGTGCACATGGCTGGGGGTACTCTGCTTCTCATGGCTGAGGAGCAGTAAAAAAACAGTAACTGAAGAGATTCAGGGGGTACAAGGATCAGGTTCCCCTTTTTATATTATTAAATCTCCCTTCCTACCACTCAGGCAAAGGGTGAACTAATGTATATGAATGGGCTAGCACAGCGGTTCCCAAACTGTGTGCCGTTAAATATATCCCCGGTGCTGTGATCATATGATCATAGCACCGGGAACTGTGCCTCACTCTCACCTGCCGGCTCTGCAGGACCGGAGGGGAGATCAGAGCTCTTCCTCACCGGCCCGTTAGCAGTGTAATGCTGCAGACGGCAGGGGAGGGAAAGAGAGAGGACACAGGAAGCTCTAACCTGTCACGGTTACCACTGCAACGTTCCAAATCTCACGAGAATGAACTCTAGCCTCTGGTGCTGCTAGAGTTCACTCTCACCACTGGGACCACCAGGGCTTCTCCACCAGACCCCCAGGAGTTAGTACTGTACCTGGCAAAGGTAAGGAGGGAGGGGGGGATATGAAAATATATATATTTGTTTCTAATAAAAAAAATTAAAGTATAGCTTTATTAATCTGTCCTCCCTACATACACACAATGCCCACCATACACACATACTGTCCCCATGTACATACACTGCCCCCACACTCTCATATACACTGACAAACAATGACATACACAAACACTCACTTATTTGACACACTCTGACAGACACACACTATTACTCACACACACTGACAGACTCACATTCAATGACATTTGCACACTAACTGACATTTGCACACACTGACCGATGCACACACTCACTGACAGACACACACTCACTGACACACACACACACAATTACAGACAGACATATACACACACACTTACAGACACACACACATACACACTCACAGACACACACACATTCACTCACAGACACACACACACATTTCCCCCAACACGCACAAATTATTATTATTTTTTCAAAATAATAATAATAAGGTAGATGGCGGACAGGCAGAGTAGGTTACGATGGAGCTCTAATCTTCCTGCTCGTGCGCCACCTAGTGATGACGGGAGCCAGAGTGACGTCATATTCCGGCTGCCGGCTTCATTAAGCGGTGCACGATGGAGCTGAGCAGGAAGAGCTCAGGAAGAGCTCAGGTGGGCATGCAACCTCGCTGCCCACCGCGATAGAAGCTGCCATCCGCCTCAGGGGGGGGGGTTTAAAAGTGGACAGCCACCCAGCTCTTGAGCCCAAACAAGGCAAACAAGGGTGGCAAAAAAAGCCGCCGCCTGCAAGCTGCCGCCCCAGGCAAATGTCTTGTTTGCTTTGTGTAAGATACATTGCTGCATATACATACACTGGCCCATACACACACACTGTACACCTCACACACTGCCCCCATACACACAAACTGTCCCATACACATACATTGCCCCCCCATACACACACAGTGTACCCCTCACACACACTGCCCCCATACAGGGGCGGACTGAGAGCCTTTGGGGCCCAGGGGAAAATTAGATCTCAGGCCCTTTGAAGGCCAAATATATGTGCATTAAATAAATGTTAAATATAACTCATAATACGGCATTCTTTTGGATGTGTATATTGTGAAGACCTGTTTATCAATGCATGTTTGTATTTGAGTCTGTGTGAATGCACTTGTGCATGTCTAGATGACTACATGTGCTTTTTTGTTTATAGTGTCTGTGTGAATGCATATGTGACAGGTGACAGAGTGTGTGAGGGAGAAGGTGACAAGTGGAAGAGTGTGGGAGGTTGTGACAGGTGGCAGAGTGAGGGGGTACCTGGTGGCAGAGTGAGGGAGGGAGGGGTTGAGTGGTGGCAGAGTGAGGGGGAGACACAGTGACTGGTGACAGAGTGAGGGAGTGGGTGACTAGTGACAGAGGGAGGGAGAGGGGGTGACTAGTGACAGAGTTAGGGAATGGGTGACTAGTGGCAGAGTGAGGGAGGGAGGAAAGAGATGACTAGTGGCAAAGTGAGGGAGGGAAGAGGTGACTAGTGACAGAGTGAGGGGATGACTGGTGACAGAGTGAGGGGATGACTGGTGACAGAGTGAGGGAGTGACTAGTGACAGAGGGAGGTAGTGACTAATGACAGAGGGAGGTAGTGACTAGTGACAGAGTGAGGGAGGGGGTGACAACAACATAGGTCACCCCATCCCTCTCTCTGTCACTAGTCACTCCCTCCCTCCCTAACTCTGTCACTGTGTCACCCGCTCCCTCACTCTGTCACTAATCACCCCCTCACTCACTCTGTCACTAATCACCACCTCTGTCCCTAGTCACCCCCTTCCTCACTCTGTCACTCTGTCACTAGTCACCCCATCCCTCTCTCTGTCACTAGTCTCTCCCTCCCTAACTCTGTCACTGTGAAGGAAGGAAGGGGTGACTGGTGACAGAGTGAGGGGATGACTGGTGACAGAGTGAGGGAAGGGATGACTAGTGGCAGAGTGAGGGAAGGAAGGGATGACTGGTGACAGAGTGAGAGAGGGGGTGACTAGTGACAGAGTGAGGGAGGGAGTGGGTGACTATTGAGAGTGAGGAAGGGGGTGACACAGTGAGAGAGTGAGGAAGAGGGTGACACAGTGACAGAGTGAGGGAGGGGGTGACTAGTGACAGAGTGAAGGAGGTGGTGACTGTCACTAGTCACCCCATCCCTTCGTCTGTCTCTAATCACCACCTCCCTCACTCTGTCACTTGTCACCCCTTCCCTCCCTCACTCTGTCACTAGTCACCCCCTCCCTCTCTCTGTCACTAGTCACACCCTCCCTCACTCTGTCACTAATCACACCCTCCCTCACTCTGTCACTAGTCACACCATCCCTCTCTCTGTCACTAGTCACACCCTCCCTCACTCTGTCACTAGAGTGAGGGGGTGACTAGTGACAGAGTGAGGGGGTGACAGGTGACAGAGTGAGGGAAAGGGTGACTAGTGGCAGAGTGAGGGAAGGAAGGGGTTACTAGTGACAGAGTGAGGGAAGGAAGGGGTTACTAGTGACAGAGTGAGGGGATGACTGGTGACAGAGTGAGGGAGGGAGTGGGTGACCAGTGACAGAGGGAGGGAGTGACACAGTGACAGAGTGAGGGAGGTGGTGAATAGTGACAGAGTGAGGGAGGTGGTGACTGTCACTAGTCACCACCTCCCTCACTCTGTCCCTAGTCACCCCTCCCTCTGTCACTAGTCACCCCCTTCCTCTGTCACCGGTCACACACTCCCTCCCTCACTCTGTCACCAGTCATCCCCTCACTCTGTCACTAGTAACCCCTTCCTTCCCTCACTCTGGTCAGTCCGCCCATGCCCCCATACACACTTACTGCCTGCATGCACACACTGCCCCTCCATACACACTCACACTGTACCGCTCAGACACACTGCCCACCATACACATATACTGCCTGCATACACATACTGCCCACAAACACACATACTGCCCCCCATATACATACACTGCCCCTCCATACACACTCACACTGTAACCCTCACACACACTGTACTCCATACACACACACACTGTCCCCCATATACATACATTGCCCTTCCATACACCCACACACACTGCACCCCTGCCACACACACACCACTGCCCTTATCCCCTACTAAAGCCCCTATCCAGGGAGACCCCAGGTAAGTTGTCAAATTGTTCTTAAACAGTTTGACAACTTACCCTGGGAGGGTACTATGGCAATCCTGGATCAACACCACTGCAGAATGCTGTAGTGGTTATTGTGCCTGGATTGATAATCTACCAGTGCTGTTCCTGAGATTAGGTTCTGGAGCCTCCACTGACCGGGAAACATTTATGCAGAACAGGGGCTCAGTATATGCCGCAGCAATATATACAACCTAGAAATTTGTTTTGACTTAGGGCACATTGGAAAAATAATATTAAGGGTGCCTTATTCTTAAAAAGTTTGGGAACCATTGAGCTAGCAGCTACTGGGGGGCCTTTAGCACTCTCAGCCTATTATCGCTATTTAAGGTTGGACAGCAGAAGTACTGGGATTTGGGCTACAATGGGAGTCCCAGTGTCAAGGTAAGTTTTATAACAATCCATGCAGAGCTTAAACCTATACTATCCAAGAGTAAAAATAAGAGCAGATCTTAGAGTGGCCAGGCTTAATGCAATTCCTGTAGTAGGTGAAAATAGCATGGTCAGGACACAAGCCAAAGTCAGGGGTTCCAAAGATAAACATTAACAAAAAGTTGGGTCAAGGAGAATAGAGATCAGGTTAGTTAGACAAGCCAAATCAGAAGCCAGAATATCACAGATAGGGCAAGGATTGGGATATAGTCTTGGCTTTGTGCATCAAAGCTTTGTCGGCTCCAAAATTGATGCGAATATGTCAGTGAAGAGGACTCAGAACACTGACAGCATCAAAACTGATGCATTAATGAAGAACGAAACACAGGTGGCCTTACACCCTGTTATTGTCAAGCAGTTTAAAAAACTGTTTGACAGAAAACCAGGGGATGACACCAACTTGAATCACTGAATCATCGCACCACAGTTACTACAAAGAACTTAAGTGGTTATGGGCATAGGCGTGCACAGCCTATTGCATTAGGGTGTGCACCCTAAAGCACAAGCACACGCCGCTTATATATATGTGTATATATATATATATATATATATACACACATATATACACACTGCTGTGTGTGTTTGCTGTGTGACGGTGCTGGAAGTGTGCTATGTGGGTTAGGGTGTTTGTGTGTGCGCGCTTGTGAGGGTGCTGTTAATGTACTGTGTGTGACGGTGCTGTTAATGTACTGTGTGTGAGGGTGCTGTTTGTGTGCTGTGTGTGAGGGTGCTGTGTGTGTTTGCGAGGGTGCTGTGTGTGTGGGTGCTGTGTATGTCTGTGGGTGCTGTATGTCTGTTGGTGCTGTGTATGTCTGTGGCTGCTGTATGTGTGTTTGTGCTGTGTATGTGTGTAGGTGCTGTGTATGTCTGTGGGTGCTGTATGTGTGTTGGTGCTGTGTATGTGTGTGGGTGTTGTATGTGTGTGTGATGTATGTGTGTGGGTGGAGGTGGGGTTACATTACTTGCTATCCCCCCTCCCTTCTTACCTTTTGTCGGGAGGGGGGATCCTTGTTGCTGCTGCTTCCATCCCTGGTGGTCCAGTGGAGAGTGAACTCTAGCCCCTGTGGGGCTAGAATTCACTCTCGCAAGATTTGAGCGTTGCCGTGGCAACTCTCATATCTCGCGTGAGGAACCCGGCGGAGCTACTGGCAAGAGCTCCGCCGGTCCTCTCCTGCCTCCCTCCCTGCATGTGGGTCAGTAGGGAGGGAGGCTGAGAGCAGAGCCGGCGCTCTGATAGCACCTGCTCTGCATGACCCGACAGGGGAGATCCTGAGATCTCCCTGCCGGTCTCAATATACATAGGCGTGCCGCGGGGATTAGGGTGTGCCCAGGTATCTTGAATATTAATTATGACTCTAATGCCTGTAAAAACAACCAGGGAACTAAAACTGGGGGTCTGTTTTGGATACCACTATTGTAATATTGTACCAGAGCATTATACAAAGCTAATAATGAGTTTATTGTGTTTATTAAACATTAGATAAATCAGAACACGATAGACAGTGAACAGCAGGAGGTACCCACATTTCATTATAACCTGTAAAGTGGAAGTTCAGGTCAGCAGGTGAAAAAACTAAAATATAACAATATGAGAGAAAGGATACTTTATTATTATTGAAAACATTTAAAAGTCAGCAGATTCCACATTACTGTAAACTAAAAAATTATGTAATCGAACTGAAGATCAAGGGGAATCACAACTACTGCAGTTTCTGAGATGTAATGTTTTAATGGCTAATTCTAAGCACCATAACAACATTCCATCGTTGCAGTGGTTATGGTACAGAGTTTGCCCTGCTCCCTATCTCCCTTTTGAATCTGGTTTATAAACTCTAGGTAGTGGTTGCGTAGGAGGAAATGTACTTCAACTTGTGTGTACACATCACATCCTCTACTTGGATGGAGATCCATCCCCACTTTGTCTTTGCCAAGTGCCTGCATGTATGGGCGACTACGGAACATTATTTACAAAACCGCAAACCGTGAGTAGCCTGATAAAAGTTGTGATATGGCTGCTTATTCAGCAGTTTGACTTATCATGTGTGATGAGTATAACTGTGCCTGTGGAAAAACTGCAAATGCTATATTCAGATATGTGTCCTTATAATATCCCTGTCCCGAGCTGTATTAAGGTCCTCCTGCTCACCACCTTTTTTGCATTCTTTTTAAATGTATCATTTATGTAATGTGTTAAAAATTAGTTTATCATATAAAAAAAATATATATTTTTATTGTACAAATACATAAAAAACAAAAGTACACTAACAGTGTTGTTCACCAAAGTGATAATTCCAAGTGAATTTTAACTGAGAATCAATAAAACAAGCGCCGTGGAGGTCTACCTTGGAATACACAGTAGGTGTGTTCCATCAATTCTGCAATTAAAGTGAGAGGGTATTGAATTTTTTGGGTTATCTTATTGAGTTCATTGTTATCCACAAAAGCTCAGTGGCCTCCATAGTTTGTTTTTTTCCAACATAAAATGTTGCACATTAAACCTTTTTCTAAATTTTCTTTGCTATTTTCACCAAGGACTTTTAGTTTAGATCCAGATATATAAAGCCAAAAGTAATTGTGGCTCTAGAGAGGAGATTGATTAGACAATCATATTTACATCTGGATGTTAACTCTTCAGCCCCTTTTTCAGCAAAAATATCTGCATATATCTAAAAGTCTGTTGGCAGGCTATCTGAACAAGCAGAGGTATTTTTACAGTATTTAGAAGCAAAAGTCAGGATTCCAGTGGTCCAACAGATTAGTGGGTCTTGCAGACAGATCCAAAGCAAACCTATAATTAAAGTCATTACTATATTGAATAGAATATATGTGCTTTGTTTGCACCCCACAGTTTGGAAGTATAGATTCTTTAGTGACTGGCCCTGACTTTGAAGGACTGCTATCAACAAATTGAATGATAGTGGATGCGCTTCATTATGGAAAAGATATGCAATGTTTTTGACCAACGGAGATTCAATAAAACAACCAACGATCCTGTCGTCCACCGTGGCCTCTTATGTTATATTTTTCTCATACCACTGTAAAATAAGAGGATTTCATACATGAGGAATAATATTAGAAGTATCAGGATTTTGCCATTAAAGGAGTTAGTCTTCAAAAAAGAGTGACTACATATACTTGCACAGTTGGAGTGATCCAGAAGTAAGAAATGGTTGTAGGCTCACAGAGAAACTGGATAGTGTTGAGTAGGTAATGACTCTGTAATGACTTTTCTTGTGTGTCACGCTTAGGTGGCAATGTAGTAACGGTAAGTGATGTGGAGCTAAAATGTATAAATGTTGCCATGCAAGTGGCACTGTATCCTCAGTTGCCCTTATAAAGAGCAGTTCAACATGGCAATGTGACAGCATAGCCTCCAGTACTTCCAGCTCTGGTACCGATATGGATGAGTTATTGCAGTGTCTGGTAGAGGCAGCAAGGTGGTTTGCTCTTTGAGTCACATAAAACATGGGTCTGAGTTAGAAAATCATAGAAGGATAGCTTTTATCTTTGTTCCATTTTTCAAAAATACTTTGTAAACTGTGTTGCCAAAGTTACTGCTCTCGTGTGGTCTATGAGACACAGTGTGAAGGGATGAGTTTGTTAACTTTGTTGCCACCAGTTTCAATTTTGTTGTAGTCCATACCAGGCAGTATTGTAAAGGTGATATTTAGTGTATCAAAGCAGGAAAAAAGCCACAGTAACATGGAACATAATTGTCCCCTTATGACAAATTGGCAGATTGCACCAGCCAAGTCAGGTCACATAAATGGAAGATTTCTTCCAATTCATCGTGGGGTAGATAATGCAGTCATTTTGGAACTACCTATCAGAAATCTCTAAGAATATTTTTTTGACAATAATATCTTTTAAGCTACCATGCTTTTTCAGAAATCCATACATATTCTGTTTTCTTGATAATCAGAAATAAAATTATTTTATTATAAACAGCAATATTTTTTAGGAATTTTATCTCCTCGCCTTACTTGAATAATTTTATTTTCAGAAATGAGATATTATATGCATGCTGACACCTATATTGAACAGAACCAGACTGCATAAGGTTAGTTTTAAAATAAAATGTGATTATATAAAATTCTGATGATAGATTCTCATCCTTTGCACAGACTGTAAGTAATTGTCCCTTCTGGAGATCTGTAAATATGTTAATAACCACATCTGACACAGTGTAACAG